CCCCTCAAAATTGAAAACATAAACATAAATAGATATTTGTGTAACCATGTACATAGCAGCATGTTCATGAGAGCCAACAAGTGCAAGCAACCCAAGTATCCATGGACAGATAAATAGATAAACAAAATCTGATATATACATAAAATGAAATATTATTCAGCCTTAAAAAGGAAGGAAATTCTAACACATGCTACAATGCAGATGAACCTTGAAGACTTTATGCTAAGTAAAATAAGGCAGGACAAAAGGACAACTATTGTCTGATTCTTATATGAAGTACCTAGAACAAATAAGTTCATAGATTAAAAAAAAAGTAGAATGACGATTGGCAGGTATTGGGGGTAAAGTTGGGGGAATGTAGAGTTATCATTTAATGAGTACAGGGTTTCAATTTGGAAAAATGGAAAAAATTCTGGAGGTGAATGTTGATGATGGTTATAGAACAATGTAAATGTACCTAATACCACTGAACTACACTTAAAATGGTTAAGATGATAAATTTTATATTAGGTATATTTTACCACAATTAAAAGTAAATTTAAAATGCAAGAAAAAAAGTAGGGAAGAATACAAAAGCATGTAGACAATATGCTTGCACCCATGTAAAATAATCTTAGAGAAACACAGCAAAATATTACCAGTTGTCTCTGTGTGGTGAGACAACTGAGGGTGATTTACTCCCGTTTTTCTCCATTTCTCTCTTTTCCTTTAGGACCTTGTATTATTCGCCTTGTTTCTTTAGAAGGTACATTTGTAGCTCTGGGTGCCTAGATCAGAGTGGGCACCCAATGAACGTCAGCCTCTCCCGATTTTCTGTGAGGCCCTGGGGACACTGTTGGCGGGTTCTGAGATGGAGGACAAGCAGCTTTAGGGCAGACTGAAAGTGGGGCCCCTCTCTGTAACCTCCTAAATGGGGAACCTCAGAATCTCAGAACTGGGAAGGGGAAGAGGCAACAGCAGCTGAATGGGCATGTGATGGGGGTGGGGTGGGCCCAGCCTTAGTCTCTCTCCCTCTTTGTCTCTCTGGTGATTCATCTCCCAACTCAGGGAGCAGTACCTCCCTCTGTCCTCTGTCTTGTGGAGAGTTTGGCTTCTTCCAGCTTGGCACAGAGGTTTCCAGATAAAGCTGGAGCCCAGCTTTAAAGGGGAGAGAAGTGACCACAGGTCAGAGGGAAAAGTTGAGGCCTGTTCTCTCTGTCCCACTTGGTGGTTCCTGCTCAAAGGTGTGTGTATGGGTGGGGCGGGGGGCCGATGAGAGGTCATTGTAGTGTATGTGGCCCAGCCTCCTCAGGCCCTTACTTTTCCTTTTAATGACCCCAAAAGGGATAAGATGTGGACCTCCATAAATTCTGGTCTAGGACTAAATTTTCCCTCTTAAAACAACATTCAGTGACTTCTTTGCAAAGGCCATTGGGTGTATAGGTCTAGGAGGGAGTGAATTCGTGGGAGGGGAAGGTGCATCTCAGAGCCCTGCTCCTGTTGGCACACAGTTCCTGGCCCAGTTTTCAGGGAACTTCAGTCCTCAGCACTGAGTGTCTTCCTTGAGTCCAAGACAGTCTCATTTATCTGACTGGATGTCGGGGTGAGGCTTGGGGTCCAGCTTTAACCACCTAATTGAGAATCCTGCTTAAAAATATTTGTAGAATATAACCAAAGTGAATTGGAGAAATGGCTTCAGAAAGGCAGGTGGAACCATGGAGACAGCCACTGCTCATTCATTTATTCTACAAACATTGACTGAGCTCATACTCCACTTGCCCACCCTGTGCTGAGGATAGAGACAGATGTTTCTTGCAATACATTTTGGTTGTCTGCTGGGATCAGAGCCACTGGCAATAAGAGCTGGGTGGGGTGGAGGAAAGGACCCTGCCTTCTCTGGGCTTCTGTGTCCTTCTGGCTTGGTGCCGAGGCAGGTTATAGGAGATCTAAGGTCCTCTCAGCTTGGACATCTGTATTCTCAGCCTCAACCTTGTCTCACTGATAGGCCCCATTCTGAGGCTCAGCCATAAACTTCCTGCAAAGCCATCATACTGTTCATCTCTGTGTGTGTATAACAGAAATCAAATTATTCCTTCCCTCTCTCTGTGGCTGGCCCACTCCCACCCACCTCATTCCCACAGCAGCCTATATCTGAATGCTCTGCCACAGAGAAAAGCAGGCTATAAATAAATACTGTGTGGCCACACGGATAACACTGCAAATACAGGCCTACTGAGAGACAGGCCCAGTCTGCTCCCACGCTGAATGTTTCTACCACTTCTGAGCCATTATGTTTCCTTTTTATATTTTTTCTTTCCTCCCTTAACTGTCAGGCTACCAGCTATCTTTAAAACTGTCTCTAACAGTTGAGGTCCACCAATATTTATTAATCACCAACTGTATATCAGGTTCCATGTAGACCCCTACTAATTGCTGCATGTATAGATCAAAAGACCACATGACAAATCTTGTTAAAATTGTAGGTAAAATCAGAGTTCATAGGCTCTAACTAAAAGCTTTGAGCCATCTCGTATGAATAAAGTATGTGACCTTTAATGTAAGATCTTAGCTCCTCAGAAACTATTTACTGTGAGTGTCAGAAACAGGGCTGGTGACACCTGTGTTCTGGATAGTTGATAGATGAAGTGCTGTGGTATTGGACATGATTCTTCTAGTTTGGGGGGTTTTCTTTCTGTTAAAGACTGGTAGTTTTCAAACAGTGTGCTGCCAAACTTCAGGGTTTAATAGCATTGACTTAGACTAGGGTAGGGGAAAAAATAGGGAAAGGGGCAGGCTGGGCTCTGTCCCTAACAATTCCATGGCAGTTAGATCAGTATGTCTTTTGTGTTCTACAGATTTGTCTGTAAATTGAGCTTCAAGGTATTTCTATTAACCTTGTCTGATCTTCCTTCTCTGGAAGTAGAAAGGACAGAATTTTTCCATCCATTTCATTGATGTGGCCCCCAAACTTAGTGATCTGCCATGTTGATAAGCATTCTGGATGAGAACCCAGGCACTGGAGTCAGGGTTTGATCCCAGCTGTGTGATCCTGGGCAAGTTACTTAAACTCTGTCTTAATTTTATCCTCTGAATAATGTGGATAACAATAGCATCTACTTCATTGGTTTAAATGAGTGAATTGACACATGGTCTTGAGGACAATGTCTAGCGTATCTTTAGTGCTCGGGGAGTGTTGGTTGTCTTCACCGGCTGATCTGGGCCGAGGATTAGGGGAGGTGTTAGAATTCAAAGCTGTAGGAGCAATGATGCTGATAGTGACCTTTTGGAGCACCAGTCTAGGCTCAGTGTGAGAGGCTCCCACTGGCCACTTTTCTCCCCCTCCCAGCTTTGGCCTTCTTCAGGGAAGCTTTAGCCTCATCCTAGGCCCCAGGAACCAGGAGTGAAGGAGAGGAGGCACCTGGAGGCATTGAAGTTCACAGAGGCTCAGAGGTAGGGCAAGGGCAGAGCTTGGCAGGATGTCGGTTCAGGAAGCTGCCACACGTAAGCTTTCTTGCTGCTGCTTTTGCCACACCCTGCTCCCTCACACACCATGCTCTGCTGCCCAGATCTTGCCATGGGACTGCTCCTTGCCTCAGCTCTGCCCTAGGGAAGGTGGGTCAAGATGCCCTGGCCTGAGACAGATGTCCTGGAGGTAAAACAATTCAGAGTCTCCTGGCCTGCCCTGGGCTACAGAGCAACCTGGATTTCTGGGCCCCACCCCTTTTCCCACCTCCAAGTCAGAGCAGTGATAAGGTTACTCACTGACTCCTCTACTGCACGCCCTCCCCTCACCCCACCCTGAGTGAGCCTCAGCTGCCAGCCTGGCACTTGGCATAGGCTGAGCCACATCTGCTTCCACTGCTTTCTCTGTGTTGGTCTCACTCCTTCTTTGTAGAGATAGAGAAATGAAGGCCCAGAGAGAGGCACAGGTGCTCTCCCCAGGCAGCCCTCTTCCTACTCTCTGGTTAATGCAGGTGAGAAGCAGGTGACTCACATACTGGCCATGGGCCCCAGAAAAGGGCCCAGGGAAGGGAGGCTGTTGTCTGAGGCAAAGGGCCAGGGAGTCCTCTATGGGGCTGGAAGGGGAACCCTTTGGGCAGCCACATTCGTCCGCAATAACCAGAGAGAGCTGAGCTTTTCCCTGTGAGCCTCTGGGGACAGCCAGAACTTGAGGAGCAGAGGGGAAGGTTGAGAAACAGCTGGAAAAGAGTTGAGGGGATCTAGGGTCCAAACTGGGCTTGCAGGCTGTGTGGCCTGGGCCAAGACATTTTACCTCTACGAGCCAGGCGGGTGCCATTATTTCATAGTGTAAAGGATTTGATTTACACCTGTAAATCAAAAAAAAAAAAGAACGCAAGCAAAGAATTGCTCTGCCTTGCTGCCTCCTCAAAGAGTTCTTTAAGGGCTGAAAGAAGAGGGGGCTTGGGTGAGAAAAGAGAATTGCCATTTGGATGCGAGCCAAAGTGCTGGGGAATTTATTACCTTTGATCACCTTGTTTAATCCTCCCATTCAATTGGTATGTTTATTAATATTTTTCTCCACTATATAGGTGGGGAAAATAAGGCTGAGAGAGGTAAAATGACTTGTCCAGACTTTATATTTATATTGCAGAGCCAAGATCTGAATTCAATTTGTTTGGTCTCCAAACCTGTGACTCATTCCCTCTCACTTTGCATGGCCTGCTCAAGCTCTCATCCACATATTAGACTCTCCTAAAAAGATACTGCTATGGGGAGGGTTGCCTGGAGGAAAAATCAGTCCTGGGACTATAGGAGATATCCCTTCCCCACTGTATTGAAGTTTGCAGAGAAATCAGTACTTCAGCTTGAGGATCCCTTTCATTTCCCAACATGGAAGGGATGATGGTGCAGGTCACCTCTATAATTAAGACCAAAAATGAACAGCTATTTTTATGAGAAAACCCCCCACTTTTCTTGGAACCACATCCCCATCAACTGCCCTAGGGAAATTTTAGCCAAGCTGCCCTCCCGTGGCCCATTGCCCAGCAGTCTTTACTCACCCAAAAGGCATCTCTGAACTGAAGCTGGGGCATCATCCTCAGGAGATTTCCACGGCAAAGCTTGCTCTCCTGCCACAGACAGGCCTGAGAGGCTCAGGGGCCAAGTGCACTGTCCTAGTGCTGGCAGGGTTGGCCCAGGCTCCCCTGATTCAGCTGGTGCTGTCTGCAGTGCCTCAGAAGGTAGCCACAGCCAGAGATGAGCTGCCAGAGGGAGGAAAAAGGCTTAACCTGTTTCGTTTGGGGCTAGAATCAGCCACAAAATGAGGAAGGAACAGTGCCCGGGGATGGGAGGGCGGATCCTAGTGTCCACCCAGCCCCTTTACGGCCCTATGGTGATGGTGATGGTGATGGAAGACCCAGTCTAAGCTGTAGGACTGAGTAGGGATGCTGGCTCCAAGTGGGAGGCAGTGGATAGTGGGAGAGACAGATTGGTACACAGGCCAGGCAGGCAGACAGCCCAAGGCTACACAGGAAGGTTTGTGCAACTTCTCCCTGGGGGCGGGCACCAGAATCTTCACCCACAGGAAGCAGAGTCGCTGTACTTCCCTGTGCAGTGACGCTTGCCATCTTCCACCCTGCTGCTTGCCTCCCCTTGTCATCTTCTGATGTCCTAGCTGGACCATTCTCAGAAGCCATAAACCTGAGGCCCACTGAAGATGTTGGCAATGAAAGGGCAGGAACCAGGGTGTCGTTGCCCACCACCCAAGCCCTGCTCCAGACCATGAGCATATATGCTAGATTCACCACACTTCGCCAGCAAACCATTTGGGAGGGGCTTCCTCAGGCCCAGGAAATTGCTATTATTCATCACACCCTAGCTGCTCAGTGCCCTGATCTACATTCTGCTCTCAAAGAGCTCATGGTCTGGGGGCAGATACAACTGAGCGTTGGGCACCATGGAGGCATGGAGGTGGAGTGAGTAGGTAACTGACCAAGGGATAACAGCCTGAGGCTTCATGGGCACCTCCCCATCCCACCATCGAGTCTCCAAATTAGATACTCTCTGGGACAGGAAGTCCCCTTTGAAGATAGAGTCTTCAGGAAGAATGTGGTTGGATCAAGAGAGGTAAAGGTACAGACAGCAGAGTTCAAAAACCCAGGATAAGGCTCAGTTTTTGTTTTGTCTGGGCCCTACCCTTCAGTGGTTGAGGGACCTTAATCGACCCTCCAACTCTATGATCTCAATTTTCCCATCTGCCACTCTCAGTCTTTGGAAAGGAGAAAGTGTTGATACCATTACTGGAGTTTCTGGTTTGATTGGGCAGATGCTGGGGGGCACTGTCAGGTACCACCTTGAGAAGAGGCCTAGGTTGGAGCCAGGGCTTGCCCACTCAACACAAGATGCCAGGGCCAGTTGGCAAGAAGGGGTGAGGGAGCTTGTCTACAAATCAGCTTCCTCACTGAGCACTCCCATTGACTGGGGGTGAAAAAACAGATAAAAGCTGCTTTAGAAGAGGGCTAAGCCCCCAAGTGCCAGTTATGTGTTCCCAGGGTTAGAGATGAGGCACACCTAAAATTCTGAAATAGCTGCCCACAAAAGAACACATTAGGGGGTATTGCAGATCAGTGGGGCTACCCTTGTAGCCCCCTACCTCCGGAATCCTTGGGTTTGAGCTAATAAACATCTTTAGCATTGAAGGTACCCTAGTTAGGTTTCTGTCGTTTGCAGCTGAAGACAGCTAATGATATATCACCTTTAATCCCGAAGGCCTAATGCTGAGAGTCTGTACCTCATTCCAATGGCATAACCACCTTTGATAGCACTGACTTAGCCTCCCTGACCTTGGTTTTCCCATCTACCAAATGGGGGTAATGCCTCTAGTTCTAGAGGCAGACTAGAAATGCTCTGTTAATAGAAGGCTCCTATCTTCTTATTGGCAGAAAACTTCACAGCCAGGCTCTCTCCCCTGCCTCTCCAGGAGTTCTTTCCATTACCCCACCACAAATTTCTGCTCCAAACAGGCCTTTTCCCTCTTCACAAAGATACTCTTCCCACTCCTATCTCCACACTTTTGCCCCTTTGTTTCCCATCCTCCCTCCTGGCAAGCCTTCCTTGATCTTCCTCACCTGGGCAAATCCTTCCATCCCTTATGGCCTACTCAAGGCTCTGACACACAAGGACTTTCTTTTTCAACTGTTCTGTTCTAGCTGGGGCAGTCCTGGATAGATGGCCATGCTAACTGTAAACTAAAACGATTGAAGAAAGAAGTAACAGGAGGCATCTAAAGAGACTGTAAAGTTCTCTGCTACAGAGAGGTCTTCCACCTCCCATTCCCATCACCCAGCTTTTGCAGCTCTCAGAATAGCCAACTCAGCTTTGGAGCACTTAATGAGTGTCAGAGGCACCATTAAACTTTTTACATGGGCCATCTTACTTAGTCCTCACCCCATCCTGTGGGGTACACACTGTCATCATCCCTGCTTCACAGAGGAGTGAACCAGTGATTAAAGACTACTTGACTCACCCAAGGCCTCGCAGCCAGTAAGCAAAGCACTGCCCTTTGGGCCCAGACCTGTCTGATGCCAAAGCCTACTCTCCTAACCTTCACAGGTATCTTTTACCAAAATCCCTCTCTCAACAGCTGGTTTCATCCTTCCTTTTTCAACTTGTGCCTCCAGAACCTCTCATCCCAATTGATAGCTGTTAAAACTAAGCCAAGGAAGGTTGGTGGGTTTTGTGGTGCTATTGGGTGAGAATTCAGCAATGGCACAGAGTCTTCTGAGCTCACCATTATTTGTACCCATTGAGGATACCTTGGCTGCAAGGAACATAAAACCAGAGTGTCTGACACAGAGAAAGTGTGTTTTTCCCACATGAGGGGTCTGGAGGCAGGGCAGCCTCCATGTGGGGTAGTTTTGGGCCCTGGATCAGTTTTTTTGTGATTCTCCTCTATTTGCTACCTTACTTCTGGGGCTACAACAGCTCTACTCTATAGCTCCTGACACAGCTACATCTAGAGGAAAAAAATGAATTCCTCCCCTTGTGTTTCATTTTCGCCAAAGTTCCTCTTCTCCTCCCCCATCCCTCACCCTCCTCCCCTAATGTCTCATTGACCAGAAATGAGTCACACGATCATATGTCACCATCACTGGCCTCAGGAAGGGGATTCCTTGACTGAGGTATTGTGGATGTTGAGAGCCAACCACTGTGACCACCATAGCCTTCTCTTAACCAGATCACAAACACTGTTGGGCACCAACTCCTGCCACATTTTGTTGGGACTGGGGCCCAGAGAGGAGGGAGACCTGATCTCTGTGTTGAGGGGCCCAAGGATAGGCTCTAGAAAGAGCTCTCTAGATGGGAAGTGGCTCAGAGGGGATGAGACCAGAAGATGTTATTGTAATATCCCTGAGAGACTGAAGAGGCCTGAATGGGGAAGCCAGAGTGGGGTGGGGGGTAGACTGGTGAGACAACAGGTAGGTGGAGGAGCAGGTTAGCGACATCTGAGCACCCCTCAGAAAAGGGAAATGTTCTTGGGCTGCCCCTCTGTCGCCAGTCCCTGGTGGGGAAAATCCAGTTCTGAAAATCACATCTTTTTAATGACTGCTTTAGCTACTTCACAGCACAGTTTGCCTTGAGGTCTGGGCAGTGGTGCCTCAGGCCAGGCTGTGGCTCCTTTTTTAATGTGGAGTTCTCCTGTGCAGGCAGAGCCTCATCCTGTTTTGCATGGTATTTGAACACATTTGCATGAAGAATTCAAGAAGCAGTAGGTCCAAGGATTAAGTATAAAATGCAAAATCAGTTGTCACGATATCAACTGTCACAACTAGTCACCTGATAAGGTTCAGTTCCTAAAGCTACTTCATCCATCTTTTTGAGCCAAAGAAACAACAAAACCATTACTAGCCACCATTAAGGGAGTATTCATAGCTGCAGGGCCTGCATGAATTTTGTATGCTTGATTTCATTGGTTGCTCTCTACCAGGACCAACTTTATCCAAGGTTAATGCAAAATGAAAATGTGGAGCCTCTTGCTAAAAGAGCAAGGAAAAAATTGCTATTAAAGGTACTAAAATATAAAGGTTTTCCTTTCCCATGTTCTCTCAACCTGGCATGGTGCTCTATTTGCTGTTTAATATTAAACTCCCTTGGGCATGGGGACACTTTTGGGACAAGGGCCCTCCACTTCTTGACTCACTTTTGTGTGAAACCCACCAGCTGCTTGGTTTCACTTCCTTCACCACCATGCTGCATTTCAGACTGGTATCTCCCTTTCCTATGGTGGATTGCAATCCCCAAGGGTATTGCAAACTCATGCCAGGATGCACTAGGTACTTGTGGGAGACCCCCCTGTGGGAGACCCCCCTGTGTCACCTGCATGATGCCATCACCCTAGGGCCCTCCATTCTGAGATGCCACCAGGTGACCCTAAGTCTCCCCACAACTGCATCCATGTCCCTCCGGGGGCAAAGGTTGGCAGTGTTTGTTAGGTAGGAGCTGGGAGGCAAAAGCTGAGAACACATCCAGGGGAAGTGGTAGAACGCAGAACTACCCATGAGCCGAGGCTCCAAGTCCTTAATGCATGCTTCATCATCCCATTAGACTTCACTTACAAAACATGGATTCGAAGATAATATTAAGAATTTTAAGATGGCAACTATATAGCCTTAAGCCCCAAGTGCAGGGCCCCTCTGAGAAACAGGGCCCTGTGTGGTTGCAGTAGTTGCACATCCTGAAGCTAACCCTGTTTTCTGCTGTCTGTTTTCCACACAGCAGAGTGAATTTTTAGACTCTAATTTGATCAGGTACTTTCCTATTGTCACCTTGCTATAATTTCCCACTGTTCTCAGGACAATAGTCATTGTCCTTACATAACCTATAGACCCTCCATGATCTGGCCCCAGTCTACCCTTCAACCTCATTTCATGCAGGAAGACTTTGAAGCAGTAGCTTGGAGCCTTCTAGAGAGGAAAAGAGGCTACAAAAAAAGGAGCATCTCAAAGCTCCTTGGTGACATCAGGAAGCCAAAAGGCCTTTATGATGAATTTCAGTTGGAAACAGCATTGTCACTGGTCCAAGGGGCATTTGTTTTGTCCCTTTCACTGCTAACATGTTGTCTTGACAATAGCTTCCTTTCTCTAGGCAGACCACATGATACATGTATCTCCTTCCTGAAGGAGCAGAGCACACTGCCATGATGCTGGCTGTGGCTGTCAGGTGCCCACTCACTCCATGTCTAAATTAGAAAGTTCCTGTACCTGACCACTGTGGTCCACTGTCACTGGGGGAAATACCTACAGGGTCCTGCCAGGTGGCCAGTGGCACATGCCTGCTCGGCTGGGGCTCCCACTCTCAACCCCACTACCCCGGCCCAGAATGGAACAAGCCCCACTGTAGTGTACCTATCAGCATTTGCTGAGCCTTTCTGTCTAGGGACATGGAAATGGACAAGGTCACCCAGGAAGAGAAATGTGCTGAGTGTCAGGAGAGCAGTGTGTGCAAGGAGAGAGGCTCTG